TGAGCTACCTCAACGCCTGAATCTGGACGTGTTTGTGGAGACGTGCAGTTCAGGAAACTCAACACCATTTCTGCACATCTCTGCAAAAGCGTCCACATTCAGGCCTTGACATAGCTCAATGCTGCTAGTGGGACTTGGCCCCTGGGGCCAAGACCTACTAGCACCATTTTAAACCATGTCGGTTTGCTTTTCTATCACGTGTGGGGCACAGTTCCACTAGCACACGAGTCATGGCCTATTGGACCTGTGCGGCACTGTAAGAAAAGGAAGAAAAGTAATTTTAAAGACTTAAAAAAAAGAAAAATGGCGACTTTACATTTCCCAAGATGGGAAGGAGGCCGACTTTTGAAAGTGCTGCCATCCCACTAACCCTCCCGTCTCCCCCCCCTGCTCCCCACCCAGCCAATGCCTAATCAAGACAGAGTGGTACCTGACTGTTGCAGTCTTGCATACCACCGCGACGGAGTCCCTTCGTGTGCTCCCCCTGCTCCCCACCCAGCCAATGCCTAATCAGGACAGAGTGGTACCTGACTGTTGCAGTCTGGCGTAGCACCGCGACGGAGTCCCTTTGTGTGCCTGATGGGACTCCCTTCTCTGACGGTTGCCATGCTGAAGCGTGCATTTTGTATATTTTGAGAGAAAATCGAAGTAGTGGATGGGGTTAACAATTGACTGGGGGAAAAAGAAGGTGGTCAAAACCATGCCCTTCGAGTACTTGATTTTTTTCAATCTTTTGAAGAGCTGCCAATCAAAATGAGTCTTTCTATTTTTATTTTCCCGCCTCCCATTCTTGGAAACTGGAAAGAAAAAGCACAAAAAAAAAAAAAACCACCACTTCAGAATATAAATCCCTCTCAATTTCGCAGAATATGAACCATCCTATTCTCCTGCATCAGTGGTCGGACGATGTCCCGCAGATGTCCCAAAGGTGTTTGTGGGACACACTTTACCTTACAGGTTGTCATCTATGGAGGGGAAATCTTGCGGGATTCCGAGTTTTGCAGAGATTCGAGAAAAATTGAAAAGTTTTGGCTATGTGTGTACCCTACGCACTTTCATGATTTCTTCTTTTCCTTTTACTAATTCGAAATCACTATAGCAGGGTTGCGTTTTCATAAATCTGTGAAGAGAGAGGGGGAGGGGGGGGGG